AACCCTGAGCTGAGTCAACAACGGTTTGTCCACAACGCAAGATGTTGACATTGCATGGCGTAAAGTAGCGCTGCGGGGTTGACAGTGCTTTCTGCTGAATGAGAGGGAGGAAACCTGATCTGTATCCACATCGCCATGTCAACAACGCAGTGATTGCGTATCCAACGGTGCGCTGCGCAGGAGGAATGGAACGGAAGGATGAAGAAGGCTATCCCGGAGCTGTGTTCACAGCGCAGCATCTACAACGAAGAGTTATGATGCCGCGTAGAAATAATTGCGCAAACAACACTTGGTAACAAAAACACATTGCGCTGTTAGGACTGCGCTGCGCAGGAGTTGGGGCAGATGTGAGGAGGAGAAGTTTAAGCATGAGCTGCGTCCACAGCGCAGTGTCAACAATGCAGTGTTTATACATTGCATAAAGAACACTGCGTAGCAATGGCACTACGTTGTGCAGGAGGAGGGAGAAGGGAGGAGGAGAAGAGGCTAGCCGGGTGCTGTGTCCACAGCGCGGTGTCAAGCATAGCTTGAAAAGCACTACGTAAAAATAGTTGCGTTGTCGACGCTCCGTTATGCAGGAGTAAAGGAAAGGGAGGAGGAAGGCAGCGCAACGTCAACAACGCAATGTTTCGACACTGCGTAAAAAGTTGCATAACGACCGTCGTGCAAACAAAAACCGTATTGCTGACTCTACGGCGTGCAAAAACATGAAAGAGAATTGGACTGCGTACCAAGCGCAGTCTCAATAAGGCAGTGTTTTCACATTGCTTAACAAGATGTGCAAACACGTTGCTTTGGCATTATTCATGTTAACCTGTGTCCACAGCGCAGTGTCAACAACACAGTGTCTGGACGCCGCGTTCAAAACGCACTGCGTAAATCAAACTCTGTGTTCAAAGCACTGCGTTGTTGTCACTGCGCCGTCCTGCAGGGGGTGATAGGGAGGAGGACAAGATGCTGACGTTTAGTCGTGTCGACAGCGCAGTCTCAACAAGTGGTTCGATATTGCGTGAAACACATTGCACACAGGAAACGCTGCGTTGTTGACCCTGCGCTGTGCAGGAAGAGGGGAGAAAGAGGATGAGAAACCGCTAGCCTGGAGCTGTGTCCGCAGTGCGGTATCAACAACGCAGTGTTCCGACGTCGCGTATGGAATCATTGCGTACAACATATTGTAGTGGCCTCCGGCCAGTGCCGCCGATCCGGGGCGCTCTGGATGATGAAGATGATAATGATGATGATGATGATGATGATGATGATGATGATGATGGTGATGATGATGATGGTGATGATGATGACGACGAGGATGAGGATGAGGATGAGGATGAGATGATGATGATGATGATGATGATGATGATGATGATGATGATGATGATGATGATGATGATGATGATGATGATGATGATGATGATGATGATGATGATGATGATGATGATGATGATGATGATGATGATGATGATGATGAGATGGCGCCGACGGTCCCGGGTTCCCGGTTCCGCGCTCGTCCCGGGTCCCGCGTCCGCGCTCGTCCCAGGCCCCATGTCCTGCGATGGTCCCGGGTCCCGGGGCTCGCGCCGGTTCCGGGTCCCGGGTCCTGCGCCCGTCCCGGGTCCCGGGTCCCACGGCGGTCCCGGCCGCGTCCCCGGTTCCGCTCCGGTCCCGGGTCGCGGGTCCCGGGTCTCGCGCCGGTCGGGTCCCGGGACGGTCCCGGGTGCCGGGCTCCGGGTCCCGCGCCGGTCCCGGGTCTCGGGTCCCGCGCCGGTCCCGGGTCGCGGGTCCCGGGTCCGGCGCTCGTGCTGGGTTCGGGGTTCCGGGTTCCGCGCCAGTCCCAGGTCCCGGGTCTGGAGTCCCGGGTCTCGGGTCCCGCGCAGGTCGATCCCGTCCCGCGCCGGTCCCGGGTTCCGGGTACCTGCCGGGTCCCGCGCCGGTCCCGGGTCCCGGGTCCCGCGCTGTTCCGGTCGCAGGTCCCGGATCCCGCGCCGGTCCCGGGTCCCGGGTGCCGCGCCGGTCCGCCGGTCCAATGTTCCGGGCCCTGGGTCCCGCGCTCGTCCTGGGCCCCGAATCCTGCGCCGGTGCGGGGTCGCAGGTCCTGCGCCGGTCCCGGGTTTCGCGCCGGTTTGAGTCCCGGGTTCCGCGCCCCACTCCCATGGGAGTGGCGGGACCTGCAGGGACCCGGACCTGCAGGTCCGGGTCCGGGGTCCCGCGCTGGTCCCGGGTCTCGTGCCGGTCCCGGGTTCCGGGCCCTGCGCTCGTCCCGGGTCTCGGTTCCGGGTCCCGGGTCCTGCGCCCGTCCCGGGTCCCGGGTCCCATCGTCCCGGCCGGGTCCCGGGTTAACATTCCCGGGTCTCGCGCCGGTCGGGTCCCGGGACGATCCCGGGTCCCGGGTTCGGGTCCCGCGCCGGTCTCGGGTCTCGGGTCCCGCGCCGCGGTCCCGGGTGGCGGGTCCCGGGCCCTGGGGCCGGAAAAACGTCAGCCGTGCGTCAGCTCGCGTGAGCCCCCCCCCCCTCGCCAGAGCCGGGTCCCGCGCCGGTGCCGGGTCCCGGGGCTCGCGCCGGTTCCGGGTCCCGGGTCCTGCGCCCGTCCCGGGTCCTGGGTCCCACGGCGGTCGTCCCAGCCGGCTCCCGGGTTCCGCTCAGCTCGAGCCGGTCCCGGTCGCGGGTCCCGCGGGTCTCGCGCCGGTCGGGTCCCGGGGCGATCCCGGGTCCCGGGTCCCGGGTCTCGCGCCGGTCTTGGGTCTCGGGTCCCGCGCCGGTCCCGGGTGGCGGGTCCCGGGTCCCCCCGGGGCCGGAAAAACGTCAGCCCGCGTCAGCTCGCGTGGTGAGCCCCCCCCCCTCGCCAGAGCGGGTCCCGCGCCGGTGCCGGGTCCTGGGGCTCGCGCCGGTTCCGGATCCCGGGTCCTGCGCCCGTCCCGGGTCCCGGGTCCCGGAGTCCGGCGATCGTCCCGGCCGGGTCCCGGGTTCCGCTCCGGTCCCGGGTCGTGGGTCCCGGGTCTCGCGCCGGTCGGGTCCCGGGACGTCAACAACGCAGTGTTCCGACGTCGCGTATGGAATCATTGCGTACAACATATATAGCCTTGTTGTCACTGCGCTGTGCAGCAGGAGGAGAAAGGGACGACGCTTACCTTGAGTTGTGCACACAGTGCAGCTTCAACAAGACAGTGTCTCGATGTTGCGTCGCAAAAGGGCAGCATAAAAACACTGCTTGGTTGACATTGCTCTGCGCAGGGGGGGAGACACATGAAGAGGAACATAAGGCTAACCTGGAGCGGTGCCTACAGCGCAGTGTCAGAACAGCGCAGTGGCGTGAACCAAGACGGCGCACACACGTTGCGTACAAAGCATTATTTTGTTAGAGCTGCGCTGCGCAGGACAAGGGAAAGAAATGACAAGGAGTCGGTTAATCGTTAGCTGTGTCCTCTACGCCGTATCAGCAACGCAGCTGTTCTACGTTGCGTGAGGAACATTGCGCATGGAGACGCTGCGGTGTTGACACTGCTCTGAAGGAGAGGAATGTGAGGAGGAGTACGCTGATCCTGATCTGTCCCCACAGCGCAGTATCAATAACGGAGTGTGCCGACATTGCGTACAATTCATTGCGCATTGAACGTTGTGTAACCAACAGTGTGGTGTTGACACCGCGACGCGCAGGAAATAGAAAAGGAAAGAAACTGATAGGTCCACCCTGTGCCTTGTCCATTGCGCAGTGTCAACAATGCAGTGCTTCGATACTGTGTAGGGAGCTTTGCGTAACAAGTACATCGTTGTTGACACTGAACAGTGCAGGGGGATAGGGCAACACCTCACCTGCGGCCATAGCGCAGTGTCAACAATTTAGTGTTTCGACACAGCGTAAACAAAAGTACGGGGTAACGAAACATTGGATTGTTGACATTGTGTTGTGCGTTGTGTTGTGCAGGGCAGAGGGCAAGACGCTGACTCTGTGCTGCGTCGACCGACCAGCGTGAACAACGCAGCATTCTGGCAGTTCAGAAACGGCTGCGTAAACAAAGCGTTGCGTTGTTAACGCCACGCTGTACAGGAGGAGAGGCACTTGAAGAGGAACACGAGGCTAAGCCAGAGCAGTGTCCACAGCGCAGCATCAACAGCACAGTCTTCGAGACTGCGTGAAACCGCACAAGAAAACACAGCGGGAACACACATGTAACACTGAGTAACAACAAAGTGTGTAAAAACAAATGCGTTGTTGACACTGCGATGAACAGGAGGAGCGGGAAGGCAGGAGGAGAAACCGTGAACCTGGAGTTGTGTCCACAGCGCGGTGTCAGCAACGCGGTGTTTCGACATCGCATATAAAGAACATTGTGCACGAAACATGTTGCGTTGTTGACACAGCTGTGCAGCAGGGGCGAGGCTTACCCTGCATGAGCTGTGTCCACAGCGCAGCTTCGAAAGCCCACTTCGTTGTTGACACTGCGCTGTGCAGGAGTTGAGGAAAGGACAGGAGTGCAGAGAAAATGCTACGTAGAAACAGCCTGCGTTGAGGAGGTTACGTGGGAATCATCCTGGGTTGAGGACGCTGCGTAGAAACATTCCGTGGACAATTCTACGTAGGAGGCCTTGAGTATAAAGCATCGTGTAGAACATACAGCGCAGAAAACGTTGCGCTGTTGACATTGCTTCGTTGCCACTCCGCAGAACACGCTGCGTAGAACACGCTGCGTGCAAAGCACTACCCTTTCGACAAACACTACGCTGTTGGCATCGTGCTCCACGTTGTTGACACTACGCTGCTCAAACTGCGTAGAAGGCACTGCCTAGACAACGCCGCGTCGTTGCAGCCAATTCACTGTTAAAACGCGCTCTCAACATTGACCCCTAATCGCCCAGTCATCTCCGATCGGGACCCGGATGCCCCACCCTGCCCAGGGCCCTGCGTTGCTGCATTCGGGAACCTAGCGCCCATCTATCGGCGATGCATCGCCGGTTCCAGGTCGATGCTTCTCGCCGCTCGCCAGCCCCCACGTCTCAGCTCCCCTGAAGGTAGCAACGTTGGATCCAGTTCTTCCTCTGCAGGCGTCGAAGTGGGTGGCGAAGTACAAGCACCAACCCACGGCCGTGTGTCGCCTCTTGTGCGCCTTCGGCGCGGGCGCGGACGCGTCCAGCTACGATCACTGGAACGCGCTGGTCGCCGCCGATTTCCCGGACATTGAGCTCGTGCTTCTGCAGCTGCCCGGCCGGGGGCAGCTCTGGCAGGAGCCGCTGCAGCGGCGGACCCGGGCGGCCGCCGAGCTGATCGTCGAGGAGCTCCAGCGCATCGAGGGCGGCGCGGCTGCGGCTCCGACCGCGCTGCTGGGCTTCTCCATGGGGGCCGCCGTCGCGTACGAGGTGGAGCTGCGCCTCGAAGCGCTGGGCCGTCGGGCGCTGTGCCTGTACGTGGCCGGCAGGGGCGGGCCCGGCATCAGCTACAGGCACCCGGAGGAGGCGAGGGCCCTCGCGAAGGCGCCAGAGGAGTACGTGCGCTTCTTCGCCACGACCTTCTGCCCGCCGGACGTCGCGGCGAAGCTGCTGAGGCTGGCCGCCGCGCCCGAGGAGGGCGGCAACATGCTGCGGCGCCTGCGGGACAACTACAGGGCCGACCTGGAGTTGGGGAACCCCTTCCCGGAAGATGGGGCGCCCTCTCCCGTGCCAGTCTCGTGCGGCGTCCACGTGGTGGTCTCGCGCAGGGACACCGTGTGGCCCGCCGAGGCCAGCGCCGAGAGGTCGGTCCGACTGAAACTCCTGGGTGGTTGAGCCAATGATGGGCCTGTTTTCCACCACCACCACCATAAGCTGGAGGGGGGAAGGAGGAGGAGGAGGAGGAGGACGGAGGACGGAGGAGGAGGAGGAGGAGGACGGAGAGGAGGAGGAGGAGGAGGAGGAGGAGGAGGAGGAGGAGAAGGAGGAGGAGGAGGAGAGGAGGAGGAGGTGGAGGAGGAGGAGGAGGAGGACCCCCTCCCCCTCCAACTTATGGTGGTGGTGGTGGTGGTGGTGGTGGTGGTGGTGGTGGTGGAAAACAAGCCCATCAGCCAAGCATTCGTCCTGGTAATTCGTAACGTCCCTGGTCGAACTCTGGTTCAAATTCTGCCCAACACCGCCTGGTGCGGCTCCATGTGGCTTATTCGTTTGCTTGCTGTTCGGCCCGCTGCTTGGTTCAGCAGCCCCTCCAACGGGCTCAATCGTATTTCCAATTCGGCAGCTGGTATTCGTCACGTGATGCGAATCTCAGGTGGGGATGAGGCGCAGCAGGAGGAGGAGGAGGAGGAGGAGGAGGAGAAGAGGAAAAGGAGGAGGAGGAGGAGGAGAGGGGGGAGAGGAGGGGAGGGGAGGAGACTGCGCATCACGTGACGAAATGACTCTGCTTATCATTGGTGCCACGAAGGCCTCCCGTTAGGTCGGGCATGTCCTCCTACAGGCGGATGTTGGGTGAAAAAACATCCAAAACATGCCTCAACATATTCAACAATTGTCAAACATTTGTCCCCACACTATTTGTTGATTACTTTTGAATATTCCTCCTGTAGAGGGACAGGCCCGACTTACGCCTCCCAGCAGCTGCTCTCGAGGTCGGTGGCGTGCACGCCCGCGTACGGCGACATCGTCGAGACCTGGCGGGAGTGGACCACGCGGCGCCTCGCGCGCACCGTGCGGGAGGCGCCAGAGGTGTCCTTGGCCCACTGTGCCCTCAGGATTTTCTCCTCCACCTTCCCCCTTCCTCATCCCTCCTCCCTCCTCCCTCCCTCCCTCCCTCCCTCCCTCCCTCCCTTCCTCCCCCTCTTCCTCCTCCTCCTCCTCCTCCTCCTCCTCCTCCTCGCCTATCCTCTTTCTCTTTCTCCTCCTCCTCTTCCTCCTCCTTCTTGTGCGTATTCCACCGCTTCCTCCTCCTTCTCCTCCTCCTCCTTCTCCTGTTCCTCCTGCTCCTCCTCCTCCTCCTCCTCCTCCCCCTCCTCCTCCTCCTCCTCCTCCTCCTCCTCTCCTCCTCCTCCTCCTCCTCCTCCTCCTCCTCCTCTCCTCCTCCTCCCTCCTCCTCCTCCTCCTCCTCCTCCTCCTCCTCCCCCTCCTCCTCCTCCCCCCCCCTCCCCCTCCCCCCACCCTCCTCCTCCTCCTCCTCCTCCTTCTCCTCCTCCTCCTCCTGCTTCTCTTCCTCCTCCCCTCTCCTCCTCCTCCTCCTCCTCCCTTCCTCCTTCCTCCTTACTTCTTCCTCCTTCCTCCTTTCTCCCTCCTCCCTCCTCCTCTTCCCTCCTCCCTCTTCCCACTGGTCCTGGGTGACCGGGACGACCTCCAGGAAACCCCTCACGAGGCCCAGAGGGCCCCGGGGGCCCAAGAGTGGCGCGAAACCTTGGGGGCACTTTGGTCGATAATCCTCAGGACGTGCGTTAGTCCGATGTGTGTTTACCCCGTTCAATCCAGCCAGTCGATCATCACATCGCCTTCGTCGTAGTGAAGGGCCTCAGTGGGCAAACACACGTTGGCGTTAACACACGTTTTGAGGATCATCGGCTTGGACTTGGGCCAGGGGCAGCTATAGCGACCCCCGAAGAATATTTGACGACCTCGAGCACCACGAGCTCTGCGGAGAGCGGCTGCTACGAGCGGTGTGCGGAGACGTGTTGCAGGTTCTCTCGGAGACGGTCTCAGCTCCCGCGGCGCCGAGCAAAAAACGATCTCGTCAACGCCCCCCAATGGCGATGTGATGGGCCACTAGATGACGAAGCGATGTTGAGCCCTCCTCCTCGAGCCTCCCCCTACTCCTCCTCTTCCTCCTCCTTCTCCTCCTCCTCCATTTCCTCCTCCTCCTCTGCCTCTTCTTCTTCTTCTTCTTCTTCTTCTTCTTCTTTTTCTTATTCTTCTTCCTCTTCCTCCTCCTAGATGCTCGACCCCTCGATACTGATCGATTCTCCTCCTCCCCCCTTGATCCTCGATCCTCCTTCTCGATCCTCCTCCTCCTCGTCGATTCTCTTCGATCCTCGATCCTTCTCCTCCTACTCCTCCTCCTCCTCCTCCTCGATCCACGATCCTCGCTCCTTCTCCTCGATCGTCTTCTTCGAGCCACTCCAATAATGAGGAAACGGAGGATGAAGGGGAGACGGAGGAGGAGGAGAAAGAGGAAGGGAGGAGGAGGAGGAGGAGGAGAAGGAGAAGGAGGAGGAGGAGGAAGCGGTGGAATACTTACGAGGAGGAGGAGGAGGAGGAGGAGAAAGAGGAGAGGCGAGGAAGAAGGTCACGACGATAACGACGACGACGACTGCGGCGGCGACGACGACGACAGGAGTCAATCATCAAGGCTTTCGCCGGTCTTTCGCTCTGGGAGCCTATTTCAAGCCTCTTGGGGTCATCCTGGGGCTCTCCTCCTCCTCCTCCTCCTCCTCCTCCTCCTCCTCCTCCTCCTCTTACTCTTAGGGCAAGTGTGGACTTCTTTGGGGTTCTCTTGGGGCTCTCTTGGGGCCTTGGGGGCCTCTCGTGCCTGCGTGACGCCTCGTCGCTGTCATCCGCGTGGCGGCGGCCCTGGCTTTTCCTCTCTCACAGCAGCCACGACACATGCATCGTGCTGCTGAGCATCGTGCGTGGGGCCTTGAGCCCTTCTTGCGGCCATATCGGAGGGTTTTACGACCCCCTCCTTCGGAGTCGGGAACATCGCCTATTCGGGGCTCTCTTGGAGCGCTTTCGGGGCGGTCGTGGGCGCTCTTGGGCCACTCTTGAGGCCGTGTTGGGCCCCTCGTTGGGCGATCTCGGAACCATCTTGAGGCCTCAGGCGCCCATTGGAAGCAAACCATGGAGTATGCCACCGACATTTATTTTCAATTGGTGGTGGAGGATTCGGGGCTCTCGGAAGCATCCTTTGGAGGCTTTGTGTCCACTTGGAGCCGTCTTGGGGTTGTCTTGGAGCCTCTTGGAGGCATGTGAGAGGCTGTTTGAGCCATCTTGGCCGATCGTGTGCCACTCTGGAGGCCATCATGAGGTGTCGCTCCCGAGTCGACCCACAGGTTCGGGAGGGTCCCCTCGGCGGCGCGCGAGGCTGCCTGGCTCGCCGCGGCCACCGCCGAGGCGGACGCCGAGTTCACGCGGCGCTTCCCTTGGGCTCCGCTGCCTGCGGGTGGTGCGCTCCTCCCGATGAGCGGTGGGCTGCTGCCTGGAGCGCCCGCGCCTGCGGCGGCGGTGCCAGCCGCCGTGCCAGTTGCGGGGGGGCCTACGGCGGGGGCTTTGGTGGCTGGAGCGCCGCCGCCTGCCGCCTGCCGACGGCCGCCGTCGTGCCGCTGGGCCCCCCCCCCCAAGCCGCGGCCCCGCCGCCCGCGCCTGCCGCTGGGGCCCACATCGCGGCGGGGCCTCTTCCCGCTGTGGGCGCGCCTCCCGGGCCTGGCTGGAAGGACGACGCTCGGCCCCAACGGGGAGGCGCCCGCGGGCTGGTCGTGGGTGGTGGCAGAGGACGTCGAGTCGTTCAGCTTCGGGACGGCGGTGCAGGTCGGCCCGATCTCCGGCATCGTGCTGGCGGCGAGGGCTGGCAGGCGTCGCATCGTCACGCTTGGCGCTGGCGTGTCGGCGGTGGCCTTCGTCTTTGAAGACTGGAGGCGGGCCGACTTCACCTCGAAGTGGCGCGGGTCCGATCCTCGGACCACGGCTCGGCTCCCTGGCAGCGTGGGCCCGCGCAGTTGGCTCGCCGTCACCGAGTCCGCGACGGAGGTGGTGGACCTTCTCTTCGTGCTGCAGCCGCGCTCGGCCGCCTGGCGTGTCGCCTGGCTGCTGCGCGAGGGAGTGCCCATCCAACATCACGAGAGTTGGAAGGCTCGGAAGCGGCTCAGCACTTCTGACTATGGCGTCGCGGAGCACCACACTTTGAGCACGGTGCTGGAGGACCTCGCGACAGCCGACGAGGTGAATGTGTCAAAATTCGTGGGTGTCGAGCGCTTCCCGCGGAAGATGCAGCTCATCGAGCACTTTTGGGAAGAGAAGCGGCGTGAGCAGGGCGTCTCGCAGCAGACGTTGCCGCGGGAAGAGATCAGCGCCTTCATGGGTGGGACCGGGCCCTCCAGCCGCCCGAGCAGCATGGTCTGCCCTGCGCTGCCCGACGTAGTAGGCAAGGAGCTCGAGCGCTTCGGTTAGTTGAGAAAGAATTGCTCGCAAGTTTCGCGAAGAAGCGAAGGCCGCCTCCGGGGCCAAGGCCGGGGGCGCGAAGTCATGATGACCTATTGCCTGGATGGGGTGTGCTGGCTCAGCCTCTCCAGGCGCTACGGGAACTGGGCCTACCTCGGCGGATGCTTGCGCTGCTGAGAGTGTTCATAGCAGGCATGGTGGCGCGGGCGCGGAGCGGCAGCGGGACATCTTTCCGCTGCCTGTGCCTGCTGCCGCTGGCCCCGGCGGACTGGCTGCCGGGCGGGGCTCGCGCTGCGCGCGGAGGCGGGCGCGCCGTGCCGCCTCCGCGCCGTGGCTCACCAGGCAGGCGTTGGAGTCGCTCAACGGCCTCGTCGGCGCTGGGGGGGGGGGCTGTTCACTGCCGGTTGGCGGCGCGACGCTGGCGCAGCGGCGCTGCTTGGCACGTATCGCGGATTCCGTCGCGCAGCTGGGTCCCCCGCCGGATGACCTCCAGCCATTGGCAGCCCTACTGGAGCTCCAGGCTGCCCGGTCCTACGACGGCGTGCTGTCGACCAGGCTGCCGCCTCCAAGTAATTGCCCTGTCTCGCTGGAGCGGCAGCTGGGGTCCGAGGTCCTTGATTCCGTATATCGTGAAATCTCGGACGAGGTCTTGCCAAAGACCGAAGTTTTGCAGTTGAAGAAGTATGCTAGCTTGAGGAAGGCCTACTTGGATCCTATTCTCCGGGATCGCCGTCACTGCGCCGCGCTGGTTCATCGTCTGCTGGAGGCCGGCGCGATCGATCTGGTCAGCGACCCGGCGAGGTGATGGACGAGGTGGGTCGATTCAGCGTGCCCAAGAAGAGTGGGCGGCAGCGGCGCGCGCGGCCCGCCAACTTCTGGGTCGGCGACCCCGCGGACGTGCATCTGGCCACGGGCGCGGCGCTGGCGGCGATCGAGCTGCCCGATGGCGCGAGCCCGTGGACGGCCTCTGCAGACATCGCGGACGCCTTCTACGACATGGAGCTTCCGCGCGCTTGGCGGCCCCACTTCGCGCCCCCGCCGGTAGACGCGTGGAGGCTGGGGCGGGGGGCTGACCCCGGGCAGCGGCAATCCCGGCTGCTGTGGCCGCGGCTTGCGGTGTTGCCCATGGGTTGGACCCACGCGCTGGCCGTCTGTCGGCGGGCGTCGGAGTCGGCCGCCGATCGGGCGGGGCTGGCGACGGCCCCACAGGGTACGAGGCGCCTATTATAGCAACCGGCCTTTCGCGGCAGCTATTTTATCGCTATCATGGATCATTGGGCCGCGGCACCTATTTTTAGTGCCGGCTGATATCGTATAAGTGCCGGCGTTTTTTTTTGGGCGCTCGTTGCACATCGGGTTCGTGGGTCATTCGTTGCGCGCGTTGATCATCAGATACAGATACCTGTCCAGACAGCATTGCATGTTCCCGCCATGGGATTTTATAATATATATATATATATATATATATGTATAATGGCACTAGCGTTTTACATGCCAGGAGGGTGGGTGTTGTTATAAATTTGTTTTTTGTGCACGATGTGTATTGTCGGCGTATGGCGTCAGCCTCGTGAATGTAGCGTTCGTGAAATTATCTTGCAAAGGCAATGGGTAACAGGGTCGATCAGAGCGCTCCAAAGGAAACGCGGCCACGATGCCTGGATCAGAGAGGATGGAGTGCCAGCTGCAGAAAATGAAATGGGATGGGCGGTCGGGAAAGGGAGGCGGGCATCGAACGCAAATTGCCAATAGGGCTGTCGGTCGCCATTGGCGGGCGATGTTCACGTTGTCGTCACCTCCTGTTTCTCCTCCTCTTCCTCCTTCTTCTCCTCTTCCTCCTCCGCCTTTTCCTCCTCCTCTCTCTTCTCCTCCTCCCCCGTTTTCTCTTCCTTATCATTATTCCAGGTTTCTTTGTCCTCCCTCCTCCTCAGCCGTCCTCTCCCTCTCGTTCCTCGTCGATCCCCTTCCTCTTCACTCGTCCTCTCCCTCTCCCTCCTCTGCCTCTTGTTCCGTTTTCCTTCTCCTCCCCCCTCTTCCTTCTCCTCCTCGTTGTAAGCAGCATCCTCCTCCTCTTCCTCCTCCTCGTGGTCCTCCTCCTCCTCCTCCTCCTCCTCCCCTATCCTTCGTTTTCTCCTACTCCTGCTCCTCCCTTTCTCCTTGTCCTCCTCCTCGTGTTTCCCCTTGTCCCCCTCCTCCTGCTTCTGCCCCTCCTCGCCCCCTACTCAGTTTTCGAAGCTCGTCCCTTTATCCAATCATTGTTTCCAGCTCGTGTGTCAGCAACACAGTAACAGGAGCCCGCGCACGATCTATTGAAGGCGGCATGCAGTACATTCGCACGTCGTGCTGCGGTAAGCCACAATATACATGGTTCGTTTTCGCCCCTCGCAGGTAGAGAAGCACATCGTTCTCTCACGATTTCGCGCTCTGTGAACTCGGTAGCCTTGTCGAAACCAATCCCCTCAGTCGTAGGCACGCCCGTATCACCATTTCTCCTCTTACCCTCCCCATCAAAGTTTGAATCAGAGTCGATTGGGCATCTCTCGGACACCCCGTCGACGCAGGTTTCATTTCTCACGTCGGTTTGGTAATTTTCAACTGGAGGGGTCCGAGTGGGCATGTCTACAGCTGGGGGGATGGGTTTCGGAGCACTCGCACCTCGCGGCGGT